TTGCTCCTTTGCTTCATAGGACCCCTCCCTCCCCTTGTCCCACGGGCTGCAGCCTACCTAAATTTCAGTCATACATACATTATATTATTTTGTAATAATGCATGGGTGGCTTAGTTCATTATTTTAAGGGTCCACTCCATTCCCAGCTCTTACTCATCTCATCTGAACTATTGCCGACAATACCGCTGCCTGGAGGCTCTGGGCACACCCTGCCCGATCACATGGGTTATCAGAAGCTTAAGTGCAGTTTATTTAACGACAATAACTGTCCAGCAGTCTAAAAGCTGTCAACATTGCAATTAACATCAAACATTTTACTGTTCACCAACACACCAAGTGAGAACACAATTTTTCAGCCAGCACCACAACTTCCCCTCTCCCATCAATGGTACAGGGGTGTCCTTCACGTTGTCATGCTGCGTCAGCAGCATGGCAAAATTAAATCCTTTAACTTCCTATCAGTTTGATGGTGTCCTTCAACCATCACTGTGAAAATTACGCAGGAGGTTGGGGCTTTGGGGGGATTGGTTTGTTTGTTTTTTAATGTTCAGGGCTGTTCCTAGGCCCTCTGCTACATATCAAAGAACAGGTAGGCAGTATTTTGTTTTGCTTTGTTTCAAATGAACTGTAAAGACTGTTTAAAGTTCAGGTACATTAATCAATGTCAGGATATGACAAACAATTCCTGTTAACATCATGATCATCAACATCACCATCTCCTCTGGAGCCTTCCTACCCAGTGCTAGCAGATGAATCGAGTCAGGCATCCCTAGGCACAAAGCAAAGCTGATCACCTGCGTACGTTCATAGGCTGGGTACCCACCACAATGTCCTGCAAGCATTTAAAAAACCCAGAGATGGTAAGAAGTACAGAAGAAAACTAAACTAATTTTGAGAAGTCACTGGTTTTCCACTTCTCAATTCCCCCCACTGCCTTTACCATTTATAGTCTTGGAAAACATTCCAGAAAATTTCTGCTACGATCTCAGTCTCAAGGTATTTGCTCACTGCTAGATACAATTCCTTCCTTTAGCTAAACTAATTGCCAGCCTACACAAACACATGACGGACCACTAAGTGAGAGGCAATTTTGAAGTATCGAACGGCTTATGTAGACCAAATTTTCCCAATTTTGTCTTTTTAACAACAGTTGTCTCAAATCCACTCCTAGTAATAAAATGAACTAACTTACAGTACCACTTACTGGTTACATCACCATTTTGTAGAAAATAAACTCCAAAGCAGTAAGAATTTTGATTCTCTCTGTAACTTTTATCAGTCTCCGTATTTGTACGTGTGTGGGGTTGACCCTGGCTGGATGCCACGTGCCCACCAAAGCCGCTCTATCGCTCCCCTCCTCAGCTGGGCAGGAAAGGGAAAATATAAAGAAAAGCTTGTGGGTCGAGATAAGGACAGGGGGACATCACCCACCAATTACCATCGCAGGCAAAACAGACCCAACTCGGGGCAATTAGTTTAATTTATTGCCAATCAAATCAGAGTAGGGTAATGAGCAATGAAAACTAAATCTTAAAACACCTTCTCCGCAGGGGGACAGGGAATGGGAGTTGGGGTCAGTTCATCACACGCTCTCTCTGTCGTTCCTTCCTCCTCAGGGAAAGACTCCTCACACTCTGCCCCTGCTCCAGCCTGGGGTTCCTCCCACGGCAGACAGTCCTCCATGAACTTCTGCGATGTGGGTTCTTCCTACGGGCTGCAGTTCTTCATGAATGGCTCCAGTGTGGGTCCCCCCGGCATGGGGTGCAGTCCCTCAGGAGCAGACTGCTCCAGCGTGGGTCCCCACGGGGTCACCAGCCCTGCCAGCAAACCTGCTCCAGCCTGGGCTCTTCTGTGCATGGGGCCATGGGTCCTGACAGGAGCCTGCTCCAGCACGGGCTTCCCACGGGGTCACAGCCTCCTTTGGGTGCATCCACCTGCTCCTGTGGGGTCCTTCCCGGGCTGCAGGTGGGGATCTGCTCCCCTGTGGGGCCTCCATGGGCTGAGAGGGACAGCCTGCCCCACCATGGTCTTCATCATGGGCTGCAGGGGAATCTCTGCTCTGGTGCCGGGAGCACCTCCTCCCCTCCTTCTGCACCAACCTGGGTGTCTGCAGGGCTGCTCCCCTCACATCTTCTTACCCTCTCTCCCAGCTGATGTTGTGCAGCAACTTTTCTCCCCTTCTTAAATACATTACCCCAGAGGTGCTACCACCATCGCTGATGGGCTCGGCCTTGGCCAGTAGCAGGGCTGCCTTGGAGCCGGCTGGCATTGGCTCTGTCAGACGCGGGGGAAGGTTCTGGCAGCTTCTCACAGAGCCACCCCTGCAGCCCCCCACTACCAAAACCTTGCCACACAAGCCCACTACAGTACAGTATTATTTAAACTCTAAAGGAACTACAGTGGCCATTAAACAATTAAAAAATTGACATGAGAATTAGCTTTGACATTAACAGGAACATCAGATACAGGAAAGGAATGACTCACCTTAAAGAGACCACAACAAAGCTCTTGAAATGGAATAAATCATAGCACTGGTAAGGCACGACAGCAGTCCCAGTAGGGTATCGAGTCCACATACACTCTACATTGTGCAGTTTCTGTTCTTCGAGCTCCCTAGTCATGGTGTAACTCCACCGCTCGACCGTTTTCGTTGCACCGTTTACCTGAGTGGTTGTTTCAACTCCCAAGTGCAGGCAACACAAAACCCAGCATGTGGCTGTTACACCACAGAGACTCACGCATCGCCTCTTTTCTCATGAAGAACATTGCGAATCGAAGCATTATCTTCAAGATCTTCCAATGGGTGGATTAATGCTCAGCTCATTACCCCCAACTGCTGAGACGCTTCAGTGCCCACACTTATAGCACAGGTCAAACTTTTCAGATTTTTGCAACTAAACAATTATAATAAGCAATTATTCTCTGTTATTCCTAGGAAGTTAACTTAGTATCTAGGGATTCTGGTACATGAAACATAAAAGATACAGCACAAGACCCAGCTAGGAAAGCACGACAGCTACGTTCCCATTTACTCTCCACTATGGCGTAAAAACAAACAAACAAACAAAAAGCTACTGAACAGTGCTATAGCTGATCTATTTGTTGTAAGCTGTGCTATACATGCACAGTATTGAAGAGATTATTCAAACACTGTTCAGCACAAGTGCTTGTTTACTGGATCTTGTGTTGCGGGGCAGTTCTTTATTAAAGGCGGTATTTGTTCTACAATGTCCAGTTCACAGACTGCAGAACAGGAAGCCAATATGCCAACGCACAAACTAAATTTGCATTTCAAGCACTGTGAGACCATTCTCCAGTTTGCTGGCAGCAACATGACAAGGGGCTTCTGGATGAGAAAAGCTAACATTTCAGAAACACAGCATAAACGTTGATGCACATTAGCGTGCCATGGTGTGTATGCTCACACACTCTGGGACCCGGGTGGAGATGAGAGGAATGAGACCTGGGAACACATTCCTCAAGCCACCTGGCACAGATAACCGATTTTTTTGTCTCATTTATAGGCAAGTTTTACCACAGACAAACGTAGCACCAAAACCATTCCAAGCCCTGTATTAAACAAAACACTAATGCAATAAATGGGAAAACTCAGATTAACAGAACTACCTGAAGCACAACAGCTTAACAGTAATCATCAGTGTTCGGAAAGATCTATGCATTGCTGTAACCTCTGGAAAAATGTTTTATCCAAAGACTAAAAAGCTTGCTAACAACAGCACGACAGTGAAATGAAATTCAGGTTATCCTACAATACAAAAATCTCACTATGGTTTGACTACAGAAAGTTTCTACACACAACCAAGGAACAAAGGGAACAATCAACATAGTGCATCATTTCACAGTGTACAAGTTAATATTTATGAAAAGAAGTAAATTTTCCACGTGATCACTCTTATGTGCCACTTCATAAAGGACAACATTTGCAGACGGCTACAGCTTGTTTTCTCCCGCTGTAGCCATTGGAGTGGCTTTTAGCTGTTATGATGCTCCTTTACCACAGGAAATCCAACTACATCCTTTAGCAATTATCAAGGAGATACATAAATGTAAAGACATAAAAAAAATGCTATGCCATTTCCTTTGCATCATCAAGATTAACTGCAGAAGAGTGGAAAGATGAGCAATGCAGTAATACGACAATCATCCCAAAAGGAAATTAAAGATTGAATTTTACACTGTAATAAAAAAATCGCATTTGAAAACGAAAAAACCTTGGTATTTCACATTAGAAAGACATCACCTGAGTTTCTAAGCAATTTATTTCTGCAATTACTTCTAAACTCAGACATATATTATTTATGTCTGTCCCACTGTGCTGGTTTGGGCTGGGGTAGCGTTAATTTTCTCCACAGCAGCCACTACGGGGCTGTGGTTCGGGTTTGTGTGCTGGACACAGCGTTGATACCCCCGGGATGCTTTCGCTCCTGCTGAGCAGGGCTGACACAGAGCCAGGGCCTTGTCTGCCTCTCACCCCACCCCACCAGCGAGGAGGCTGGGGGGGCACAAGGAGCTGGGAGGGGGCACAGCTGACCCTGACTGATCCCAGGAATATCCCATACCATATGATGTCATGCTCAGCATATACAGCTGGGGGAAGAAGGAGAAAGGGGGTGGGGGGACATTCAGAGTGATGGCGTTTGTCTTCCCAAGTCACCGTTACGTGTGAGGGAGCCCTGCTGTCCGGGGGATGGCTGAGCACCCGCCTGCTGTTGGGAAGCAGTGAATGAATTCCTTGTTTTGCTTTGCTTGCACGCACAGCTTTGCTTTCCCTATTAAACTGCCTTTATCTCAACCCAGGAGTTTTCTCACTTTTACTCTTCTGGTTCTCTCCCCTATCCCACTGCAGGGGAAGTGTTTGGGTGGCTGTGTGGGGCTGAGTTGCTGGCTGGGGGTAAACCACGACACCCATAAATCAGGAAGCTATCCACAGCAAAATTAAATCCCATCTTTTCCACTGTAGTTGGATAGTGACTAAGGCCACTAGCAATTTAATTACTCAAAAAATGTAATGCTTGCTTCATGCCAATACTATTTTCAGAGCAAGCAAAAAAAATAGTAGGAATGGTAAAAATAGCTACAGGATTTTTTTAAAAATATGAAATTATTTTATTTAATTCCAGGTGAAGACCTCATCAGCTTGACCTAGTAGAGGCTGGCTAAGCAACTTCCATAAACATTAGAGAAAACACTGTTACACATACAAGATGAGCACAAGTCTCATTCTAACCAGACTTGAGGCATTAGCCTCATCTTTGTACACGTGTATTATACATTTTGAAGAATGCTTTTCCTTCAGCTCACAAAACTTTGATTTACAGTCTGTAGGCATCAGATGATGATGATCTTCATTCTAGTCCTGTTTGCCTTCCCGCCACTGTCGAGAACCTTCATTCCACGCTACATATACAAAGAGAGCAAGTACCACATGAACAGTAACTACAGCAACTATGGCAGCATAAAAATAGCTGTCTCTGTCGGACATCCCTAAGGTACCTGAGAAAATAAAGAAAGTAAAGAATATTAGTTATTAGGAACACCAAAATGGCAAATCACAACTCTTCCTGAAGACCAAAGCTACATTTATTCCTATATCAAAAGACTGAGCTCAGAAAGATTCATAGGAAAGAATTCACCATGACAATTACAGACCTTGAAACTATTTCTGGAACAAAGCAACACTGCAATTATTCAATCTTTAAAATAAAATACCCCGGTTTTGAAGTCAACAGCTTAGAGTTCTATAGCATTCACTTTTTCTGTTACTATCTTTCAGTACCAAATAAACCTCAGCATCCTTTTTTCATAAGTGTAAATCTCTTTGTGAGGCAGGAAAACCCGGGGGGTGGGGTGGAGGGGGGACAGAAAGAAAGGGATAATGATATAATTTATTTGCCATTATAACAGGATAAAATGGTAGAACAACAATTAAATTTAGAGCACTTCTACCTTCTATATTTAGACCGTAAAACAACAGCTCCTCACCAGTTAAGATACATGAATGCATCTCACATGAAATAAGTCTTCGAATATCCGAAGACCAAATACCAAAATATCATTTCACTTCATTCATTAAAAAAACCCCAAAACAAAAAACCAACCAACCAAAAAAACCACACATCACACCACACCAAAAATACCATCCTCCCAACGCAAGCCCAATCCTATCAGTGCTAACAGATCTTGCCATTAACTGACACAGCAAATTTAAGGCTCCGCTTGCTACACCTCAAGGGAAAAAAAAACAACAAAAAAACCCCAAAACCAAACCACCATGCTGAAAAGGATCTTGAAAGTTACTTAACAAGATCTCAGCTTCAGCCTTCAGAACTACATACAGCAGTATGCACCAAATGAGAATCATCTTGGAACAACTCGGTTATATATTCACAAACTGCTCTTAAAAGGAGCTGCTTTCTTCCTCCCTCCTCCCCACTTTTGAAGGAAGTACTTTGCTCCTGCAGTATTAGGAAGTTATTAAAGCCTTGCAGAATCAGGGCTAGAACGTGTCTGGTTGTTAGCAGTTTGACAGAACTGCTCCACACAAACAGCTGAAACCTCTTTTTTTTTTTTTTTAAATTAAAAGAAAGCTCTACAAGCAAACACATTCAATATCTGAAACTGGGTATATGACTTAACAAGTTTACACTTACAAATGCAGGTATGTTTTAAAAAGCAAAAAATAAACCCAGTAGACACCATTCTGTCTTGAATACACAATTAGTTTGCAACACCTGCAGGAAACATCTCCCTGATGATTCTGTTAAAAGTCTGCTGCAGGGTGGTGTTAGATACCCTTTAGGTAAAGGGAAATGTATACAGTATAAACCATTGTATAACAAACAGCAAATATCAGACTGCAGACCACAATGCAGGGAAGGATGCATCGACCATTTAGATAAATTTCTGTTCTAATTAGACATTACAAGGCCTTTCATCTGCATGAGGAAACAAATATTCAAAATAGGAAGGAGAACAAAGATGCTATTAGAGGATTGTGCTTTTCCTCTTTTTTGTAATAATAATGCTAATTGGCAGAAACAGAATTACCTTCAAATATATAAGCCTTTGATGAAAAATATAGCCCAACAGGTAATGTGATCATAAGAGCTGTGAAGAATAGAAGTGTTCTTAAAGTTGATGTTAATGAACCCTCATTTCTGAAATAAATAAGAAGAGTTACACATAGAAGAAAGTCACAATATATACGCCTGAAACAGGACAAGAACTTGTCCCAAACGGAAGCCAATTACACATACTCAATTCTTGAAAATACGCCTGAAACAGGACAAGAACTTGTCCCAAACAGAAGCCAATTACTTTTCAAGAATTGAGTATGTGTATCATTTGGAAGCAATAAAGATTTGGAGTATGTATTTGTTGGCTGCAATAGAAAAATCACAGTATTCAAAATGATGTAATAATTCTGCCAGTCAAAGCTCACACGTAAGATTAAAGACAGTCTTTAGATTTTTCCCTGATACTGCTCTGCAAGCATTAGCAACATAGGGGGTTACATTAATATGTTTATCAGTGTATTATTAAGAATCTAATATTAGATACGCACACACTTGTCATATGACAGTATTCTGCATTACACTTGCCAAGTTCCCCTTTTTTTTTTTTTTGTAAATAACTACAAGTCTAGGAAAATGACAAATCACACAGGCTAGGATACAGAGGGAAGTGAGCAGAGTGACTTTTAACAGCTTACTATTGGAAGTGAAGTTCCCTTTTATTAGGTATTGTTCCTCTATTTAAAATAATTTTTCAGCTTCCACTGAGAAAGGTGGAATAACTGTAGCAACAATCAGAACATGGAGCCAATACACCAAAACATTAGGGTTTTTTTTTTTGCCTTCACAGACCTAAGCCTAGATGACCTTGAGCGAGAGAATCACAATGAAGGATTATGTACTTGGTGAGGTCTCCCTGAACTTGATCTGCTAGAACAGGTTTTGTATCCAGAAAACACCACATACAGCTTGGTTTTGTGTGGGCTTCCACCAGTTTTCACTCACCTTGCTTGGCTGACTACATTATTTTACGCTGAAGTAAACACATAAGCCAAGCAATACCCTTCTGACTTTCAAAGACTACCAGATTCAATGGCATGTGTCCTTAGTCTTTGAAACACAAGCATACATAAAAAACACTTCAAGTCAAGGATACATAATTCTTAAGACTCCCAGTCACTGTCACAGCAATTTTTGGATAAGTAGTTTCAAAAATTGTTACCAAGACATATTCGTGCCATAGCATATTGCTTGAAATCACATTTTATCCTTGAAATTTCTTTGGAAAAATAAGTGGAAGTGAGGAAAAAAACCAACCAACCTCATCCTCTGACAGCCATCAAAAAACAGTGACATGCAGCCACACACAGCTTTTACACCAAAGCCAACAGCACTTTTTGCTGATTGTGTATTGCCATACCTTTAGATAGCATATTAAATAGCTTAAAAAAAAAAAAGACATTCAGAATCTTTTCCTTCACTAGAGTTTGTCTCAAGGTCTTGTCAGCGTGGAAAGCATAACCCCATTCAAACTTATCCTATGGAAATTAGAAACTAATCTCTATTTAACACCTACCCATAGAAGAATAAGATGACCTCCAACTTATTACCAAATTTAAAAGCTCCACTGTTGACGACTTTTCTTACACTGAGATACTTTCATCACTTCCCTACGCAGAAAACCCAGACATTCGTGTATAACCTCAGCCCTAACACGGAGCTTTTAACTGCAGACCTGCCCCCAGGCTCGGGTTTCGGGGTTGCCCA